TTAATTTTGTTACATCTAATGGATTTTCTAACATATATGCTACAATCAAAGACAAGAGAGTTATAGTTTTGCCAGTGCCTGAGGGCATTTCCAATAAACAATGTCCCTAAAATAATAAATAAAAGATAAATATCATATAAAAAATAATCATTATTCAAAACTATACAAAATAATTACTTTAGCATCCAAGCCTCGTTTGAGTTCAAGCATATATGCATATTGTTCTGGATAAATATAATCGTAAGGAAAATATACAAGTAAACCGTCAACGCTGATTCTATAAATATAAACATATAATTAAAATTTTTGTTTTAGAGAACTAAGAAACTATTTAATATATATTTATTTTTACTTCATATTTTTATATTTTTTTTATTATATAAATAATAGTTTTATACACAATAGTATCATTTATTTGTTAATATAAAAACCATGAGATTTTAAACAAATAATAGGTTAAATATTATTTGAATATATAATAGCGCGGAAAAACGAATGCATTAACACAAACTAGCTAAAGAATAGATATATCATCCAAAACATTTTTGTTATAGTTTTCTATTATCATTTTCATGTCAAACGTGACATTATCGATTCAGAATGAAATAAAATAATAGCGCTACTACTACGAGAGAAATTGTAACTAAATATCGTTATTATCACAGAATGGAATTAGACAACAGCGTTACTGAAACAAAAAAATTGTAATTAGATCTGCAATACTAATTTTTTTTACTGTTGAAATATTTATAGTAAGAATCTCTAATCTTAGAAATATATTATAAAGTTGAGAATGAAATATATATAATATATTTTTTAGTTTTCAAAGATAAAATAATAAAAATATGTTTTGTTGATATTTCTTATTTCATTTATAATTATGCGCTAAGAAAAAACTAAATATAAACTTAAAATTTAGAGAAAATAAATACTAGAAAGACAGAGATAAGATAAAATTTATAAAATTATCTTTAAAATATCAGAAATGAAGTACAGAAAGAAAGAATAAAATATAATATAAATAAGAAGAGTAAACTAGAAATAGAAAGAATCGAATTGTCATCTCTTGAATACTCTATCTCTTTAAAGACAGGACAAATTAAGATAAGAATTAAATATGCATTTTTTAAATATCAAAAATATCTTTCTAAAAGCATTCAAAAAATGGCGCTATCTTAATTCTTATTCTATCTTTTCTTTAAAGAAATGCTTTGATATTTCAGAGATGACAATTATTTTTTACTCTATCTTTATACTTTTCCTACTATTTTTTCTTGTTTTCATTGATTTTATTTGTAGTACTCTAAAGATGGATGATTCCATAATTTTTCTATCTGTTCTTCAATTGTTTGCTTTTCTTACTTATATTTGCTTTTAACGCATGACTACAGACAAAATACGAGATATCAATAAAACACACTTTCATTTTATTTTTTTGTCAAAATTATAATATTTTAATTTTTAATATATAAGATGTAGATATGTTTCTGTTCTTGTTCAATGTATATTAAAAACGATGATCTTGCAAAAATATATATTTTAGTATGCATTGCGAGATATCACTCAAAAAGCAGTGAATTTAAATAAATAAAAGTTTGATCTAGGAATAAATAAATTTTAAAGTATTCTATTCTTATTAGATATTTCAAAAATTTAATCTGTTGCAATAAAAAAATACAAGTTTAAGTTTTAATTTATAAATAATTCAATTCATCATGAATTTGTCATTTATTCCTAATAGTAAAAAGATCTATAATTCAATATATATATATATATATATATAGTACATGAGAGTATTTATGAAATTTATATATCAAAAAAATTATTTTTAAAATTTGACTTTTTTCTCTTTGGTGATTGTTTAAATATAATTCCTGCAATAGAGGGCACGAATCACTGATTTTTTTGCACAATTGAATTTCAAATTATGAAATACAAATTCCCTTAAATGTTAGATTTATTCTGTGATCTGTCTGTGTTTATATATTTCATAGTCAGCAGACCATATATATTATATTTGTAAAGAATATTTTTTAAATATTTAAAAAATTTTAGCAAATTTTAAAGATGTTAAATATAATATAATTAAATTTAATATAATATCATGTTTCTAATTCATATATGAAATAGAAAATTTATGTAAATTTGTTATTATTCTAAAAATGATCAAATTTAAAATATATGTATATATATATATATGAAATATAAATATAATTATATCTCGTATATTTAATTTTGAATTTTAATAAATAATTTTTGAAATTTGTATATTATTATTAAATTATTTATTTATAAAAGATTTTTGTTTTTAATATTTTTGAAATATTAATCGATTTTTATATCGATTATATTATATTCGATATATTCGTTATAATTCGATATGATTAAACCGGAAGATGTTTGGAACTGTTTCTTTTCCGTGACGATTTAGCGTCCGTAATGTAACACGTGTATGAAATATTAGAATAGAGATTGAAATACATTTAGTATAAAGATATTAAATATTTTAGTTTTAAAATGGGAAAACCAGGTAATTGAAATTAACATTCACATATTCTTATATTTAATCTTTTACAAAAGATTATTTTAATTGTTTAAAATGATTTCTATAATGTGCTTTATCTAGCATTTCAATTAATTTATATATTTTATATTCGTACAATTGCATTATTTATGTTATAAAGTATGAATAACTATTTAAACAAATATACTCAATGGTTTTTTACTTAAAGATGTAGTTCATTCAGTCAAGTAAATTAATAAAATAATTTTTGTTTATATATAAATATAACATTGTTATATATTAATTGAATTAGACATCTAAATTTTATTTTTTGATTTATTTTATTTGAAGAAATTAAACATATTAAGAAAATGAAACTTAATAAAAAATAAGATTATTTTATATATTTTTGAATTTAATGTATATTACAAAATTAATTTTATTATAGGATTTTCACCAGGTGGATTTAGAGGTAAGGGAGGTGGTCGAGGAGGAGGTAGTGGACGTGGTGGAGGAAGAGGTGGAAGTGGTGGTGGTCGAGGTAGTGGTAGAGGAGGAGGTGGTGGAAGAGGTGGTGGAAATACTCCACGAGGACGTGGAGGAAAAGGAGGAAGAGGACGTGGAGGAGGTGGTTTTAAAGGTGGAAAAACTGTTGTTATTGAACCACATCGTCATGAAGGAGTTTTTATAGCTAGAGGAAAAGAAGATGCATTAGTTACTTTAAATTTGGTACCAGGTTCAGAAGTATATGGTGAAAAAAGAATAAGTGTGGAGGTAAATAAGTAACTAATGTAAATTATATTATTAATTTATGAAAAATGATAAACAATGACAAATAATTAACAATTTGGATTTTATAGGGTGAAAATGGTGAAAAAATTGAATATAGAGTTTGGAATCCTTTTAGATCAAAATTAGCTGCTGCTATACTTGGAGGAGTAGATCAAATTCATATGCCTCCTGGAAGCAAAGTTTTATATTTAGGTGCTGCATCTGGAACTACAGTGTCACATGTAGCAGATGTTGTTGGACCAGTAAGTTCATATAAATGTTTCTTTTATGTTGAATATTTAATTATATAAATTATAATGCATACATTAGAGCCAAATTAATATATTATAATTAATTTGGTGTCGACGTTATGCTAGAAAAATTAATTTCTCGTTTTTTTGATTGAGTAAAATATATTATATTTTACTCTAAAATGACGTGTATACAAAATTAATATTTTACTATTTTGATTAGATTACATAATTATATCTATATTATAATTACAGATTTTGTTCATACATTATTATAAATTTATTTTAGGAAGGACTCGTATATGCTGTAGAATTTTCTCATAGATCAGGCAGAGATCTTATAAATGTTGCTAAGAAACGAACAAATATTATTCCTATAATTGAAGATGCAAGACATCCTCACAAATATAGAATGCTTATTGGAATGGTAGATACAATATTTGCTGATGTGGCACAACCTGATCAAGCCAGAATAGTAGCTCTAAATGCTCAATATTTCTTAAAGAATGGAGGTCATTTTGTTATTTCTATTAAAGCAAGTATATTGGTTACTTTTAAAAAAATTTATATATTTTGTTTTTTTTTTTTTTTTTTAATTTAAATTA